GATTAAATGAATAGTTCTCATAGCATGCTCACCTGCATGCATCTGAGCAAGAAAGTACGTCAATATGATGACCTTTCTTTCACATCCGCGTTTGCTTTGAAATCTTGTATCAGATTCATTTATGATAATAGACAACCGAAGTAGGTAGAATAGTTTAATATTGAATAATTGTTTATTAGATTAATTATTCTTTCGAATGATTTTTGAATTCACAAATTCATGAAGAGATTTTTATTAAAAGTGATAGAGAAATACGGATAGAGATTATGTAATAGATAAGAAATAAATAAGATTTGGCCAAAGAAGACTCACAAACAATAATAAGAGACAAGGTTGAATAATTGAAGAAAAAAGACAATGAAGAGACAAAAAGAGTTTAATAACAATGTAAACATGGTTCATATGTTTGTTGGATGTTAACTTCTTGGTTGAATTCGATTGAAAAAACGAAATGCAATACGTTTAAGTGCAACACGATATACTGAACCAGTGAGTGTGTACAAATAAAAAGAAGTTGAATGTGTGACACTTATAAGCAGTACAATCAAAGAATATGACAAGTTTTCGACAGCTACGCGATATTTACTTTTAGAAAGATCCGATGTTAGACTGGCATACGGACGATAAATTCCGAATGGTAAATCCAGAAGAAGAACAATCAATACCTAAAAGAAAATCATTCAGCAATATGTTCATAATCAATCTTCGGCCGAAATAGGTTCAAGATTAGCTAACTGTAAATATTTTCACGCTTTTTTGTAGTTAATTTTACCACTGAAAGAGTAATTGAAGCAAACACAAAGAAAAATTCTCAAAGATCTCTGATAAAAGATCATGGATATAAGTCTACATATCAATAAATCCTCTATTTTAATAATATAGACTCATTTCAAGGGCTTTAGAAAAGAGTAAGTATGTCAAAAAGAAAAGATAATTGAGCAGTTTCAATTAACAGGTACTGATAAGTATCAAGAAGATTTTTTGTTATTTGTGTTTTTTTACTCTTAACATAGACTGAATATTAGTCACAGGATTCAAGTCTGATATACGATTTGAACATTACAAAACGACTGTAAATAAAGATTGAAAAAAAAACGTGTCATTTACCTGAACTAATAACATTCGAGTGAGATTGCGATCATTATTTCGCATCGGTAGTCTATCATTGTTTGTGTTGTTTGAATTAACTGAACTCACTACTGGATGAACAACTCTTAATCGAACATTACGAATAGTTAATGAACCAAAAATGGCTAAAAAAATGCTAGGTAAAACGATATCGAATGATAAAGCTGCCCAATCATTAAAGAGTCGACAAGGAATATTGCGACCATAGCAGGCGACTGGGACATTAGGAACACTTGCTTCAAAACAATAGGTAACTTCGATAAATAGAAGTGCAAAGAAAATGAAAATTCCGACCAAAAAACGTTTTGCCGTTCGACGTGTACTCAATCGGCGATAAGCAACTGAATGATGACTACACAAGAATCGATCAATATTTGCTCCAACAAGACACCAAGTACCCATCGCCCAAGTGACGTTGAGAAAATACTGACGAATTTTACACATTGGTTGATTTTCGTTTGGCCAATTAACGTTATAACTAAAATTTAGTTTCAAAACAAAAATCCTTTTCTTTTGAAACGTCCCTCTTTACAAGGATTATACAGCTATACGGGCGAAGGTGAGTATTTCTTCAATAAAACTTTTTTCATTTCCTCTCTGACTATAACCGATAACTATCTATGTCGTAAATACTACAGTGATTTTGACGATTTAGAAAAAAAAAGAAATCATGCTGAAAAAAAGGCATAAATTTAATAAAGTTTTACAAGTAACAGTTTTTCACATCTCTTCGATAATTATTTATCTAATCACTAATTTTTGTTATCATTCTACGATTTGTGACACTGAAAGTCGAATATCATCTAAATATAAACAAGTCTTTTTACATAATCGTAGAAATTCCAAACAAAAGAAAACGATTTCTTTCTCTTCATGGATGTCTTGATAAGATTATAAGCCAGAACTCGTTAATAAAATCTCGACTTATAACAAAATTATCAGGAAAAAAACACTAATTTATCACTAAACTTTTGTCAATCAAGAAGGCATAGATGAACATTGACATAAGTAACCGGAAGAATTGAAGAGCGTTTCAGTTTTTTTTATCTTGGCAAATAGTTTTTCGAAATAGGAATTCATCTCAAGTCTATTTTCGGTAACAATAGGCTACTGGAAATTTTAAATTCACCACTCGAGAAATACTACATGTTTTATACGTGTAATTTACCCTTGTAGGACTCGTGTTAAGAATCCTGACCAAATAAACACCAAACTGAACGCCGATGACCAGGAAAGATACATTGAACATGGATTTTCATGGAGAGAACCTTCGCTTAGTACACAAATGTTGAGTAGATTACCAACCGTGCCAAACAGAAGCATTAATGTAGCTCCATGACGATTGATCTGCATCGTGACATAAGTAAGAGAAGACACCAGATCCGTATTAAGTGACATTTTTTCCCTTTTTTCAATGTGAAAATATCAATCGATGATCTCAAAATCTAGTTAATGCTGAAAATAAACACACCTTTCCGGCTTAGAATATTGAAAGCGTTCAGAACGTCTTTCTTTTTATGTTTGATTAGCCTAACGTGATAAAGCTTTTTACTTCGTTTGTCTTTTGGTATACGTTGCTTAAATCCAAAAGAAATTCAATTGAAGAAAAATAGAAAATTATAACAATTATGAAATCTAAATGACGTGATAAAGCTCAGACTCATTATTGTTTCGCCTCCTCAAGAGAGAGAATGAAAAAAAGAATAAAGACATCCTAATTCGATATGATTAGAGAAAACGTAATAAACAACATGTCAATCATTGAAGTTAAAAGCTTTTTCTCATCACAAAGAGCTGCATTAATATAGAAAACAGTACCCATGATGACCAAGATGACAAGCAAACGTGCAATGACATAATGAAAAACTTCAAAACTATATCGATCGTTCTGAATAAAATCAATTTTTCATTTTGGAGTGATAAAGGTTAGATCATTGTAACGAACATATCTAAGGACCAATCTTTGATTAGTTCCTGATAGATTATGTATTAGAAAAAAACCTCTTTCTGTATCCTTTTTGTTGTGAAAGCATAGATCAGAGATGTCAGATTAGTATTAGCATTAACTTAATGCTAAGATGAATAGTTTTTATTTGGATTACTTAGAAAAAAGTATTGTAATTTGTTTGCATTAATGTAGTGCTTAAATCAACTCAACATTCTGACTATTTACAATATTATTTTTTTATGAATTAATTACAAAAGGAGTGTCTCTACTCTAAAACTAAGGCTCCCATTTAAATGCTAAGTAACTTTTAATAAAAACTAAGTAAAAAATTCAATTTATGTTAAGTATTTTATTTAAATTCTAAGTGAAAATGTTTGATTTTCTAGGCAAAACATTGTAAATCTCTAGATAAATATACAAATTTTGTTGAGCAAAGAAACATAAACATATAAGTAAAATAGTTATACAATTAGTTACTTTGTCCTAATCATAAATTACTTAGTAGTGATAATTTTTACTTATCGAATTTGTTTAATAATTATGATTTCAATTTATTAACATAACGAAAAAATATTTTACTTGTATATTAACCATTTAGTTTAGCAGATATTTTTATTACTGAGAAAAAATAAATTGACTGAGCGTTCAATAATTCCATTTATCGTTCAAATTATTTATTGATCAAATACAAATTTTACTTAGCAAAGAAATCGTTGTCGAAAACTAATACACTATTGTATTAACATGATATGGTTCTGTATTTGTAGTATAAAAAAATAATATTAAAAATAGCCAGAATGTTGAGTTGATTTAAGCACTACATTAATAAAAACAAATTACAATACTTTTGTCAATTAATCCTAACAAAAACTATTCATCTTAGCATTAAGTTAATGCTAATGCTAATCTGACATACCTAACGTCATAGATTAAAAATAGTGCTCATTTTATTTAATAAATAGAAAAACTTTCACGTGAAATTTTATTGTCCACTATTCTAGGAGATACGCAGAATTTCTATAAGAGTCGTTCTAGATTTCTTTATCTTCGTTGATACTTGCTTTAACTGTACTTATGACGTTCAGTGTTACTAGTAGGGAAGCCCAAAACTATGTCTTTGATTTTTTCGGTGTATTTTCCAACAAGACTTGAGCGATGTTCTTCACTCATCAACCAACTCAGATTTTATGCTGGAAAAGAATCAATTGGTAATCTCTTCATAAAGTTCCATTCTGAAGCAGTTTTTTTATTTTATCCCATTTTGAGAATTATTGGTAAAAGTTCTAATTAACAAGCGCGATAGCACATCTTTTTTTTGTTACTCATATTGAATGAAATGAAAATCAAATTCATTGCTTAAAATTGATTTTCAAATGATGTTTTTCTTCGTGTTCATTACCTAACACAAGATCAAAAAAATATCAGTTATAATCCAGTAAATCTATGCTTTTTTAGATCACTTTCAATTTACTCTTATTGAGCAGATAGACTGGTATTCCACAAATAGATGCTGCTATCCCTAGCACTCAATACTATCTGCTATTTTCCATTTATCTCGATGTAATCGAAAAAAATGGCAATCAATACCTAGCTGAGATATGTATTGTGCATTGTTGCGAAGAGTTTGCATACAATTAAAACAGTCACAAATCGAATAATGAGAGTAAATGCTAACATGGATGAATACTCAAACTGGACCAATACTTGTATACACGTTATTACACCTATAATCCATGAAAAAAATTTTAAATCATCAAGTTGTCAAAATATGAACGATAGAAAAATTGTTAAATTTTCAATTGACAAAGTTTCAGCACAGGTTATGTTACTTAATAGCTATACTTCATGAGACACTAAAAGCTAATTATATTGATGCAGTCGATTTAATCTGTTTACTCGAAAATTTAATTTAGGATGTGAGGTATCGGTGTGGGTGTAAGTGAGTGGGTATTGAATATTCTTCTTCAATCAGTCAGGGTGTGGGTGTGGATGCGGTGTGGATATTAATGGCATGAAGAAAACATTGAAGCACACCCAAAATTTTGCAATAATTGGACGTCGATAATCTTTAGGCAGGTGCTGGCCTTCACAATGATGACATTTTATAGGACAATTTTGATGATCATCTTGTGATTTGTTCAATCCACATCGTTTACATCGATCGAAATGTCCATTACAATCATTTTTAATATATCCTGACCAATTACATCGTTGACATATACGATTTGAGGTAGTGCTAAAAATTCCTTTATTTCTAATAATTGTCCATTTAATGGAAATACACCACTATTCAGCATTTTTTTCATTTCATCTTTTGAAACTAGGTCTAAACGAAGATGACGAGATTTATTCGAGATCGAGCCTTTCATTTCTTTCAAAAATAATTTTGATTGACAAACATCAGATATTGCCTTCAGCATTTAATCGAAAGAGATTGACGTTGGTACAAATTTAAAAATTAATGAATACTGTGGAGATAGATGAATAGGTGGTATAGATGCAATGGCTGTATTTAGTAATTTTTCGGGATAGTGAGCAACATCCGATAAGTATAAAAATACAGCGCGCCTCAATTGATTTTCCCCTCTTGATATTTTTTTGTATTTATTGCTATACCTCTTTTATTTGTCAGCCTAATTATGTCATTGTCTATATCATCGTATCTTCGTTTAGGTGTGAGTGTAATGTCATCAGATATATATTGTTGCTGGTTTTTCTGCTTGTATTCGTCAGTTACTTTTTTTAATTCATATCCATCGACCAATTTATCCTTTTCTGATGGTGACATTTTATCGTAATACGAGCAAACCATAATTTATAATTGAAAGAATATAAAATTTTTAGGAAAAATTGATTATCAATTCTTCAGTTAAATATGTAAATAAAAGAATTATCCTTTGAATGCATGCGATTTATGCACTAATCAGAGAGAAACGAAAAAAGTTGACTTCTCTTTAAGTGTGTTGGAAGGAGAATGACGGAGAATGACATATATTAAAAACTATTATTTGAAATCAAGCGAATAGAAAGTAATCAAACAAAAATAATTATTCTCTCATATGAGCATAGAGACGATGGGTAAGATTGAAAAATGTTTTATTTTGATCAATATGTGAAGAATAATCAATACTTTCTGGACTTAATTTTTCTTCTTTCGTTAGTATTTAAAAATAGCCCATTTTCATTTTCTTCTTATGATATCTAAAATTCTTGATCAACAATACTCATCGAAGAGGCGATGTTGTAAAAAAGTTGTGCATAACTATGTCACTGATTTCTAATATATGATTACAATTTTTATTCATTTACATTGATTTAAATATTGAACAAATATGCAATAACAACAAAAAAGTTCTACAGTAGTTCTTTTACAACATTGCAAAAATTCTAAATAGAAGCAACCAAAACTGCCAGAATCATGCTTTTCAACAGAATTTGGAGTTATCTAAGTATCATTTTGATACGATACTTGTTTAGTAGGATCATCAGAAGAGGATCCACATATATTAGTTAATGAGTCAGTCGGTATCACAAATGAATAAGGCTGCGATGATAGATGTATATCTACTTTGTTTAAATTTATTTTCGGTGGTTGATATGAGAGTGTGGGTGTGGTGAGATTTTTAGTTCTTTTCATTCACATCCACATCCACACCCAATATTGTCTTCTAAACTTCTCTTTTGACACTTTTCGTTCTATATGAAGCACTATATTTCTTTTATAAAATAAAATATTTGCTGTTAAGGCTTAGATCTAATGTTTATTTCTTGAATCTTCTAAACCAATACATCAGAAAAAAAACAACATAAACACGCTGAAACTCAAGGAAACACGTCTCTCTCTCTCTCTTTAAATAAATATATAAATAGACATGTATGTTTAGCAGACAGCCAGGTGACAGAGATAGAGAGAGAAAAAAGAGGAATGGAGAAGTATCGAAAGAAGATATATGTCGAATACGATATGATATGATGTTATTAACACAGATCAAGGCGCTTGCTCGTAAAGGAAAAAGGGCGATGACATATTTGATTTACTCAATGATGACAACACTAAATGTTCTCTACCCATACAACAGTCGTAGACGGAAATACAAATATAGTATTTCTTTTTTCTTTCTCTTTCTCTTTCTTCCTCTACCCTTATATTTGATGAAAATCATCGAACAGCAACAAGATAGTGGCAAATGGATTCTAACACTTCATTAGCACTTCTTGTTCTTGTAGCAATTTTTCAACTACAATCTATTAGTATCAATGCTCAATGTCAGTGCGAAAATTGCACAAGCAAAATTATACTAAAAAAACATTGGCACTCATTAATTTTCTACAAAAAAGCATCGTATACGTATGAAATAGAATGTGAAAATTCAGATTATCATATTCAAATCGATCATCTGACATTTGCAACATTTAATCATACGGATAAACATGCTGATACAAAATGGAAATTATTCATTAAAGACAAAGAAAGCTCGACTGAAGTGTACAAAAACCTGTCAAGAATCGATATAATGTCGTTATTATATGGAGAAACTGAATGTTTTCATTTACCAACGGAACCAAAAGGTACAGCATGTCGCCCATTGATTTTAAATACATCTTCGATTTATATTAACATTCAATGTCAAAATGAATGGTACGATTGTCCACTACAGTATCGAATTGAAACACAATGTGTACCTCGTCCAAATATACGAAAACGGTAATAATTTACAATTTTTATTATCTTGAAATACAGAATATTTTAATACGCTGTAAAATGATTTGCGTATCTTTTTATGCGAATTCGTTCATTATTAGGCGAACGAGACAAGAACAACATATCTTATATATTTTCTAATATTTAAGTATTCTTTTGAGAATTCTTTAATGATAACTAGGCTTGCTCAAGGGAGAAAAAGTGAAAATTTCGTAGTTGTCTGTACTTCAAAGATATGTCAAAGCTATTCTCCAGATCTTCTGATCTGTTTCGAGTCTAATATCAATGTATGTGAGGAGCATATTAGTTTGAGTTCATTCTATAATAATCTTTCCAATAATAAAGCCCAAATGCTTCATTGTACTTCATTAAGACTTGAATATTAAAGTACGATGAAGTATTTGGACTTTATTATCGGAAAGATTTATACAGAATGAACTCAAACTAATATACTCGTGACATACATTGATATTAGACTTGAAACAGCTAAGAAGATCTTGAAGGTAGCTTTGACATACATGAAGTACGGTAAAATGTGGAACATTCACTTTTTTCCTCTTTGGGTTTATCCCATCTCGATAAGTGAGAAATAATAATAAAAGAAAATAAGAAGAGCGACTGATAGAAGATGACGTATTTATGCGCTCACTTTCCAAATTTCACCAGAGATGTGTTCAGAAATCAAGACATCATTTTCTAAGCTAGCAAGTGCAAACAGTAAAGATTTTAATGTATATCCAAATAGTAACAAAAACAATCCCAGAAAGAAATGACTAGAAAGTAGAAATTCGATATCTGAATAATCGTTTTGGTCGAAGAAAATGAAAAGAGTTTTACTGTCTGAACTATCCTTAGTAGTGGAATAAACAAAATTACTCACGTCAGTCTACGTCTATGCGAGTGTAGAATAAAAAAGAAACTGGAAGCTTAGTTAATACATGAATGACTGAAATCATTGACTCTATACGTTTTCAACGTTCAAATACATCTGAAATGCAAAGAAAGTGTAACAAAATTAAGAAATCTTGAATTTTCATTAAAAAAAATGATAATGAATCGTTCAACTAGAGCTAGACATTTTTTCTTGGACATATCCATGAGCTAACACCAGTAATAGGCTGTTATTCTCACATTCAAAAGTTTTTTTTCGAGAAAAAACATGACTTTATACGATTTCTGATGAAGCTCAGAAAACTTTTTTTTTGTCTAGAATCGTCCATCCTCTTTGAAAAAGATATTGTCTCTCTTATCAACGTTGTAGGTCCACCACTAATTTGTATCTATGAAGTATTTTGTAAATGTGAAGTGTCAAGTATTTTTATCGTTTAATTTACTGATTTTTATGATCAGCGAAGAGAATTTATATTGTATGGTTACCATGAAATAGTTGCAAGTTGGTAAAGAGACGGTCCTCACCCAGTCGCATGGGTATATCTTCTGTGGCTCGAAGGAGAATACATGTTACTTAGCCATGCACTAAACGTAAAATCACTTTCGTAGTTCTCTTGTTTCATTTCTTCTGTGTAGAAACATAGTTGACGATTTATTTAAAAAACTCTGTCGTTATAGGCAGACCTTGGATGTGCGTATCGATCGAACAAATTTCTTCGCTTCCAAAGAACCAAAATTCAATGTGACTGTTAACATTTCCTCAAATCGAATTGCAATTAAACATATTGATCATGCCTACCATGGCGATTATCCAAGTTTCGTCTATGCAGTATATCATAAACCAATCTATCACGATCGAAATGATTCATGGCTTTTTAGAGTTAAAACTTTGCATATTAACGGTATAGATTTTCACCTTTTAATCCTAAAACAGATATAAAACTGGTTTCAATTCGTTTAGACAAACCTGAAAACGATGATAGCACGCCAATTAAAATAGTATTTGGTTTTATAACAGATAAATTTCCGATGGATTATACAAGTGTTATTGGATGGCATACGATCTCTTATGCTTATAATCATTCTGTATTGTGGATAAAAAGGCATACTGGCTATTATTGTATTGATGGCGAAGAAACAAAATGGCAGGGTACGTTGGCAGGGGATGATGGACATTATAGAGCCGTGGTGGGTTTCGAAAATGTTGGCAGGAATGATCGAATTCAAATTGATGTTAGAAAGATGACAGATGTTAAAACTGATAAAATTTCGACACAAATAAATGTGTTAAAAAATAATCAAACAACAAAAGTCACAAATTTTTATTTACCGAAACCGGTACCAAAGCAGTTGTATCCAGGTGAGATGAATCTAATTGATTTACTCTAAATTGACCAAACTTGCGTAGGCGACGAAGAATAACTATTTTCTAACCTACCCAGTATATTGGCTGATTAAAAGTTTTAAGAGAAGTTTGATAAGTACGCCGAAAAAGAGAGATATACTGTCGGTCTTATTGCAAGCAACGTAGCTTCTTAGAAAAAATTTCGATCAAGATTCCAAATGGTCTCGTTTGGTTCAAAAAAATTGTCTCATGGGTCCAAAAAAACTCAATCTAGACCACATCACATTAGACGATCGTTGTTAAAATTTTCAAACTTGGCTATTGCTCCTAGATGGATTCATGGAATCGGCTGATCCATCACCCTCAGTATCACTTCTTAAATAAGATCCTGTTACGTTCTAGAATTCTAGCACGCTGAAGACTTTTCTCTAATACTCCTAGTTTTTACTATAAAGTCCGATGAAATCATAAAAGGTGTATGCTACTTGTGATCATGTTTTGGTTTCATTATATAAAGTTGGATGAAGTTATCATATTTTCGCTAGCAAACATGAGCCTTCTTCAACTGCAAACATTGTAAAATCTAAAAAGTAACTTTTACGGTTTATAAATTTTTGTTTTTCGTTTAAATTAATACCTAATATCTGAGCATTAAGTTCAATATTGTGGAATTCTAAATGTAGAATAACAAGTCGGCACTCTAGTAAAAAGTTTTTCCGAGCTATTGGAAATAGTTCATCTACTTAAATTGTCCTAATGATATTCCATACTTCCTCAGTTTATACTCTGTGAAGTCATTTTTGAGGTATTTATCAGTCAATCAAGATCCGACTGACTTACAGACTAATATATTGCTCAGTAGAGCTTTTTCCACAGTGTCTTTCTTCAAGCTCAACGTACTGAACCATTTGGTCACACAAATTTATTCGAACAGCGCATACACAATGAATAGCCATTGAGGTTTCTAGAACTCACTTAGGTGGTTACTTCAAATTACTTTAAGGATAGCGTTCTAGTTGTAAATTCGAGTCTTTTCACCGAAAAACTCGGAAGATAAGCTCCAGTACAATGTATCATTTCTATCAACTATCGCCTCACATTAGACAAAGCGTAGTGTTGCATATTGTCTAAAACTTTCTGATGCTAGGACACTTTTTTTTTCTTAATAAAAATGACTTTGACTTGAACTAATTACACTCTTCTCACTATTCTATGTTTACAGTCATTGGTTTCAAAAGAAATGGAAAAGCAATAATTAAACGCGTCAAACACGAATGAAGACATTATTTCAAAGAATGCAGTATCATCGTCTTACTGACCAAATTTTAACATGCATCTCTTACCTTTTACCTTATTGTGAAACACGATTGTTAATGAGTTTGTTGTAGTATGTAGCAATAAAATTAGACCTCACTCCTAGATTGGCAATTAGATAACATGGTATTATGGTTTTCGGGTCGTATTATTATGGATTTTTAGACTTTTGGATCATAGTATTAAATGCTTGAGAATAATAGGATTCGATTGAACTTTACACAAAGTATAACGTATCAAATGTATGTAAAAGAGTCCTACTTAAGTTTAGTTCAACATGGCTGTCCTTATTTTGAATGTCTACTCCAAAGTTTTTTTTTTTGAAAGAAACCCGAAATCACATTATAACTTGCTCATTTGAAGTTAAAGTAGGATAGTAGTAGCTTTCAAAAATGCTTAAAAGTATTAAAAATACTTATTTATTTGATTTTCTGTTGCCACGCAACAGAAATACAAAGATGAACAGCGTCACACGCATTCTCTTGTGAAACATTTATCTACACCTTCACCATTTATATTTTGTATTTTTATCTTCTACTAATAATACGGATGTGGGTATAGGTGTGGTTTCTATTGTCATCTACATCCACACCCCACAATTCCTAAAACAAGAAAAAGATAGAAATGAAAAATAATTTAAACTGGCAAAAAAAAAACATAGCTTTTTTAATATCTGCTACAGATAAGAGCTGAACACATAATAGTTATACTTTCGTATTTCCTGTGTTACTAGCATCATGTAGTAAAAAAATATAATATGTTTTTTTTTCAAATGTCAAAGTATATTATGAGTAAAACATGGTGCTAAAACGTTTAGAGCAATAGATTTCGACTTGATTCGGGTACATGATAAATTGGTCGTCACCGATGAAGACAAAAATCTTGTTTTACAAACATTTGTCATTTACCGCTATGCAACATATAAATGTCCATGTTTTACAGCATGATAAAGCAGAATACCTTCGGCAGCAGAATCTTTCTTTTTTACTCTTGATGGTTTCATTGTCTTCATTATTAATTGCCAATTAATATCAAAAAATTTCATATGATTTTCTTCCTTCTGAGTCTTCATGTGATTATCAATATTAGTTTTATCTCGATAATGTACTGAAAATTGTTGGTTGCAAGTGATACATGTTGATTTAGATGAATTGGATTTATATTCTGTCAAAAATGGTTGATAGTCGACCACTGTTAGTCATTTTCTATTGAAGATGTCTTGTTTCAATATCTTGATTTTTTCGGTTTATCACATTTCTGATGATATTTTTGATTTTTCAACAGTTATTAGTACTTCAGTATCATTCTCTTCACCAATCATGCAACCATTAAGTTCTTCACTGATTCTTTCTGTTTCAGAATAATTACTACTATCTTTACAGATCACTTACTTTCGTCAATCAAACACACTCAAGGAAAAGTAAATATTGATTTGTATCTGCCGATTTTTCTAGCCATTGAAAAGCAGAAATTAATCTTACAATATAATTAGGATATAGCAAAAACGCCAACAAGTATTGATAAGAGTTACACTTTAAAAGTTTCAAATATGAAAAAATGTTGGTTAAAAATATAAATCGCATGATATATAAAAAAAGCAGAAAAAATAGAAAAACCATTTTTCTTTTAAGAGCAGAAGAAATAGCAGTATTAAAGTATTCATAGAAAGTGAATGAGGTAGCCTCTACAATAATTGATCGACTTGTTTACTGTTTGAACGAGTATTCGTCTAATTTCCATCCGTTTCATCTAAACAAATTGTCTTGACTAAAATGTTTGTCACGGCATATGGGTCACAATTGGCAGCTGGTCGTCTATCTTCGAAATAGCCGCATTGTTCTTCATCAACTTGACGCGGTATACGAATACTAACGTTACGTGATGCTATTGCAGATGAAAATCTCTTGTAGGAGGCTGTTTCATGCTTGCCCGTTAGACGACGAGTATTATCCAATCCTTGAGTCGGATCATAGTATTTCAGATGAGTACTGTGACGATGAGACAGTTTTTCAATTGCTTTTAGAATTGCTCTACAAATAAGACCACTTTGAATAATCTGTAAAAGATTTAAATATCAATCATCATGAAATTACTTTCATCATAGACCAAAAATGTGTGTCCGTTTTATCATTGTTATTTCCGAAAGAAATAGTTTTCCACTGAGGAAGTGTTGTCTTCAAGACAGTGTCACTATTCATCCTTAGCCATTGTAAACGTTTTCTTGCATTCATCGCAAGAAGAGCAGACTAAGTCTGTTCAACAACTTTAAAAGTCACAGGAACCGATGCAACAGTAGCTTTAGGACACATAAAGTTGTGCATAATGTTTTACGAGCACCAAAGCTCAGTGTATTTTTGCTAGAACATGCCGACTTTTCTGGAAAATTTGGCAGATGACCATTTGAAAGTAGGAAAAATGATCTCGATTTTGTTTCGATATAAAAAGAATTGAAAAAGGTTCCCGGAAACTTTTTAAACTAAGATCAGATGAAGCAGATATAGGAAAAAGATATCAGTATTCATCCAACGCATGTAAAAAAAATACTCGAGGTGACCTGAACAAGATGAATAGTCTTTACATGCAGAAAAGATGCTAATTGGCTGGTTGAACAATAATGAGCACAAGCTATTTCGATCATATATGACAATCGACGCTAGTTTCCATAGAAACGCTCAAGTCTGAGTTAAAAAGTTTGACAGAAGCGAAAGTTCCCAACTATTGTTCAATGAATTCATAGTATTTGTTCCATCGAAAAAGTCGAGGATCCATAATCGAACATGACTTTATCGCTGCTATTCGACGCGTTTTTATTCTTTTAATTAATTCAAGCAATGGTTGCAATCTACACTACTCTGCAACAAAAGGAGTTCTGCTGAACCGTTATAGTTCTAGCCAAAACGTCTGAAACTGAAAAAGGCTCAGTATGACTCCTCTTTTTAGAGAACAACGTCGATGAAGCGAGATTCTACTAGGATAAACTCGCATTTAGTGCAAAGTTTTCAAAAAGGAGAGATAGCTCGAGCGTTCTCTATTTCACTGTCTCTTATCTGCACAAATTTTCAATTACTTGAACATGTTACTTCCTATATTTCACTACTACGAATACGATCTCGAAGAATTTTACGCACACATATGTATAAGATGAAGCCCAGTCTTTATCCTTCTGCTCTCAACAAAATCAATGGAGACCTTTATTCCATTTCTACTTAGTCTTTCATTAATGAACTTTTACTTGGTGATTTTGTCTCATTTGTTGACATTAGGAAAAAAACAAGATAATTTTCTTGTTTTTCGATCCAATTGCATTGCAAGAGATCATGTCCTCTGTGTCAGTGAGATCGTCTTTCAACTCTTTCCGTGAGCAAACCTCTGTAAAAATGCTGTAGAATGCTAAAAAAGTTAACTACCCAAAAGAAAGATGCTATTTAGCAAGCATTGACATACCTAAGCAATGTCATTGTACTGACTATTTCATCTGCAATGTTTTACAGACTCAACAAACTATCATTGAACTCACTTGATTCCACCGGGTTTTCGCATTTCCTCGAGTGAAAAATTTGTATGACATCCAGCTCCATTCCAGTCACCAATATCCATGGGTTTTGGATCCAATGTGACTTGAATTCCGTATTCTTCTGCGATTCTTTGCAGAATATAACGACTTATCCACAATTGATCACTAGCAGCAATACCTAACGTCGGACCGATTTGATATTCCCATTGGCTAGGCATTACTTCCGCATTAGTACCACCGATATCCAAACCAGCATACAGACAAGCCCGATAGTGTGCTTCAACCAAATCTCGACCATAAGTCTGACAAGCACCAACACCACAGTAATATGGCCCTTCAAAGATAGAAAATCGATGAAATAGGTTTTTATTGTGCTGATGACTTCCTATTCAGTCTTCAATAACTACTTTTTCTCATCATTAACGTTAACTAAAGTTGAATATGGAAGAAGAATGTCACTGAATTAAAGTTCTTATGTTTGTTATTTACATACAATGTGATGCTGACTGATATAAACATAAGGAAGTATTTTGGGAATATCATGTGCTTTAAGAGTGTACATATTTAGGTTCAATGTAGAAGTGGAAGTGAATCCTTCGTATCTGTACTACTATTACATAATGCTATGTAATCACATAACTATGTTCATAATAAATCAAATTATTCTATATTCAAAAGAATCTCTGCCTTCTAATCTAAATGAATCTTGACATACACCGAAATTGAATGTCAAGTGGAATTCTTTACTCAATACAAATGCATCCAATGATCTTCTTTCAAAGTATGTGAAGTCGTTTGAGTTCATATCAAGAGTTTCCGATTCAAAACACATCATTGCATAATCATGTATACTTATTCTCAGGACGAACTTCTGGAATCATACTCCAAGTGACAGTGAAGAGTCTGAAATGCATCGATTGATAAATATATAAGATGACTATTTCGAATTCATTGTGATTCAAGGGTTGCATATGCGATGAAGGAAATCAATCGTGTCAAAAAAGAGTGCATGCAGGTCATAGTAAAATCATCGGATACATTTGCTCGTTCTAATTACCCTGAGCGGCAGGAAAAGCATTTTTCGGCCACCCGAATGGCCATCCGTCTCGATCTAACAAGGTGTATTCTTGTTCCAATCCAAACAGCGGCTTCTGATCAGCTATTGCTTCCATAGTTTTCTCACACTCCGCGCGCCAATTAGTCTCTAAAGATAAACAGATTTGAATATTATTCTCTGATATTTCAAAGTCTCACTTGTTGGCTTCTTCTGTGCATCGTACGTTTCACATAGTACCAATTTGTTTTCTGCTCCCAACATAAATGGATCTTTGAACATCGCCACTGGTTTTAAATAAATATCTGAATTTTCACCATGAGCTTGTCCTGTCGAACTTCCATCAAACATCCACCAGGAAAGTTCTTCAATATTCTTTGGCTCCATTTTAAGAGTCTTTGTCTTAGATCGCACCTGTTCTCCAGTGCCATCTATCCAAATGTAAGTGGCCAATATATGATTCTCCAGTTGCGGTAGGGATAAGTATTTGTTTGTAACTAGTTTGTCAAGTGGACGGATATCCATCGTACACGAGATTTGGAATTTGGTACGGCATGGAACCACGACGAGTGGTCGTGACTCGAAAAGCTAAAAAGGTTGAAAAGTATAATGAACAAGAGCCGAAAGATATTTTATTTCCTCATGCATACCAGCTTTAGAAATGCCCGATGCGATTGGCCAAAATACTTCATTGTCTCGTAATAAATTCAAAGTGCACTACGGATACAAATACAAGATACGTTTATTTAAATATTCTAAAATGAACTTTCTCTAGTTGGTCTTTCATTTCTACTGATTTCCATGAAAGGAAGAGAAAAAGACTTTTTCATCTGTTTCTTTTGCCTCTTGAGAGCTAACGTGACATCATGTGTTGTCTCTATGATCTGATGGTGGAACTGAAAAATAATTATCGATGGTCTGGACGATTTTCCGCAATTTACCACCAAATATCGTATATTTCCTCTCAACTTCGAATACCTACGTATGACTGACGAGTACTTCCGTAAGGAGTGTTTAAGATCGAGAAAACTTGTTTTTTCGGACTCAACATAGTATATTACATACATATGAAGGGTGGATTAGAAGTGCTTGTGACGATTTCAGATAGAAGAAGTGCTAGCGCTGATGAAACTACGCTTTATTATATTTCTTCATATTAATAACCGCATCGTTTACATACAAAGCATACGCTTATATACTCGACCATTAGAGAAGAGAAAACGATATAGAAGAGAAGGATAATAAGGAAAGAAGGGAAGAAGAGAAGAGTACTAAGATAGGTGTGCCAATAGGCATATTATCCCATGTGATATCTTATCTTTCTCAGTGTGCTCTTGTACAATCAATGATACGTATGTTCTTAACTGCGTTACTCTTACGTTTATCTACCCATGATGGCACTTTGTTCTCTGTCTGTCGCAATGCACTTCCCATTTAATTGTATATGATACATATTGTTCTGATCTATGTATTTTTATTCCATTGCTCTTCTGTATCTGTTCTCTCCTTGGCCTCATCATCTTTCTTGTCATCGTCTCTTACTCTACTCGTGTATACAAATGAGTCCTTCATAGGTAAACGATACGATTGTATATTAATCGTTATTGCGTCATACGACGCTAACAGGCACATCTTCTCAATGTCATTGGACCAACAAGGTTGACATAAGAAGATAGACGTCCCTTCAACAGCAACCATTGACTAACCTTGTAATGTGGAATATTCTGTTATATCTTTCCTCTTTCCCTTCTCCCTTTTGTATTGTACCATCTATTCTCTTTCTTCTCTTCCATTCCTCTCATATATAAGCTCATGTTGTGTATTAGATTGTTACATTTGGATGTAGTGCACAGTGGAATAAACATCATGCCCACAATGGGATCACAAACATTATATGTGCCTCTCCATTCGTCAGTAACGAAACTATATATATATATATAAATATATACATATGTATATTTTTCGTTACAATAAGGACAAAGTACAAAATGATGTACAATGTAAGGACAAACAGATAAGTACAATATGTAAGATGAGAAGAAATAGTAATGAAAGGACAAACATCATGTATACAATGCACTCGAACAGAATTTTTACACTGTCAGATGGAATTTGGACGTTCTCCGTATAGAACGTCACAGTGCTGACTGGCTTTGTGTATAGTAAACTTTTCTGAACTGAAACATGTGTTTGTAAATTTGTTTCTATGACTAAAAGATGCAGTAAAACACGTTCTACAAATTGACTACCGATTGACTTCGTTGGCTCATCTGGTAGAGTAATGAAAGCTGGAAATTTATCAAAAAATAAATCAATTTTTCAAAAATAGCGGTTTTTTTCATAAAGTTTGACGAACAGTAATCGAGGTCGAAGAATTCGAATCTGAAATTGGTTTCTCGAAACTTATCATACTGTGTTATGACTTGCATCTTCTTCATAGGTAGTCCATAACTGGTAATCTCTTTATGCTTGTATATTCACTATTCTCTTTCTTCCTTCAGTTTCTCTCTCATGTTATTTTCTATTTCTATTTTGTTCGATAGGTATTTGGCTTTTCTTTCGTTCGTGCGCTATGAAGTTTGCATTCACACCCCACAACCACTCTAATAACAGTATTAGTTGATACTTATTACTGGTAATGGTAATATATCACCCGTGCTAGTCTCAAAAAAATAAGAAAACCTTGATTTGGATTCAATGTAATTCGATTTCGTTAAAAAAAAAAAATCTTGCTTCGATTCGATTCGATTTGATTTCGATGCCTGGCATAAGGTCCATTCAAGAATTTTAAAAATGGGAATTTTGCTTGATTTTTAGTGACAGAATCGAAATACAGATTCTCTTCCTATCATCTTCATAAAAAATTAAAAATATGTAGTCATTTAGTAGGCATTTGAAGAGAAGATGGCTGTTATACCATACTTCCAGGCAGCAATAATGGCTATTATCGTTGACAAGAATGCATCAATCGCGAAATAGCTGTTGAAAGCATGAGAATGTTACTGTCATTCAAAAAAAAATATTTGGTTTTCTAACATCTGAACGAATAATATTTTTTGCTCTTTGTTGATGACCTACTCGCCTAAATTATGGCTTCATCGAGACGATCTTGATTGTATGAGCAGTCGAAGAGAACTGAAGAGTGTTAGTGTTTGCCTTGTTGATGAGATGAAGAGAGTGAGATAAACAAACACCACATAGAAGACTGCTCTACCCGTATAAATGCACAAGAGAAAACATATTCTCCTTATCTTTTGCATTCATACTTCACAGATAGAACCGAGACATGTACGAATCTCATATCGGCTGGTCTACCTGTAGACTAATCCTTAGTCTTACACTGATCAATAACCGGTAGATTGCTCATAAATCTTCCCTTCTATTATGACAGGAGCTTACTTAAAATATCTATTGATCTTCGTAGTCATTCAGGGTGAATGTATAATGAAATTTCGTTGAAACTTGACTATGCTAAATAGCATTGTCCCGAAAGGGAATAGGTACCGATCACCATCAAAAGCGGTGTGGTTTCAGATATCAGTTCGATCAGTTGCCAGTAGATCGGCCGATCCATTCATGTCTGACTTATTTGGACTGGTCTCGGCATCGATCTTCAAAAATCCAGACTAGTTCCATCTATTTTATACTTCAGCCAAAATAACATCAGTAACGGCAGATCTAGCTCTAATCTCCTCTATATATTTCAGATTTCAGTTCAATTATTGACTTCGAATCACAAGTGTTCCTTAATCTGTGCCATATTATTAGCACAAAAAATTGCTTAATCGAGTTGTATGAAATACAAATATATTGAACTTTGCTTTAGAGCAAGTAACAACTCTGAACTGCTGTATCTAGTTCTGTTTAAATAAGATAGGATGAAAACTTTCTTTATTTTGTTTCATCACATTTTTGCAAAGAATAATATATCTAAGACACAACATATTTAAGACAATGTTGCGATGAATCCTACGACACGAATTGCAGTTTCAACTAATAGTCAAGCGAAATGTTTGTAAATAATATCTCAATACATGAAGTAGACCATAAGATGCGAACGACGAAGATGGACCGTTCAAAAATATTTGAAAGAATAGAAGACAACTTCCGTGTTCTTGGCTTGTTCGTAAGCTGCTGATCTCCTTGTCATAGATCGAAACTGAGTCGAGGATTCGACTAATTGACTCGACTCGACTCAAATAGAGCCGAATCGAGCCAAGCAAAGATTGTCAGAAAGTAGGTCAAATCGAGTCGAGTCTTGATTTTTCTGAGTCATTTCGATCTATGCTCCTTGCCTACTTGCAAAAATGAAAATTCAACAGATATAAGAATTATGCTATTTATGAAAACAATGAGCACTGACATGAACAGATATTATATAAATAGCGTAGGATAGATGCAAATAGTATATTCGTAGTTACCTTTAAATAGTGTCAAAGGATGATGAGATTCGAAAGAGAACGAGTGAGACTAAAATATTAAAAGAATATGAAGAAAAATACGTTTATCATTCCTTTATATAACAGTGATTACTGATGGATACATTGCCTTCCTTTCGTTTAAGTGAAAAAAACAAGCAGTTAGACAGAACAGTCTCTAAATGACGTTTTTCTCTAGTATCGTATGAAACAGATGTTATCTTTAATTAATATATGAAAAAAGAAAAAAAAGCATATTTTCGCCAGCTCTCTTACATTAACGGAACACGTGCAAGTAATCAAATATGAAAGCATGTCTACATACAATTTTTGTCTTTCGTTTTACACAAAATCACGGCCTATTGATATTTTCTAACGTATATGAATTGAAAAACGAATCGACCTATCTCTTGAAGAGACAACAAATTCAGTCTGCTTGTCTCCTCTTTTGCTTTTCAGCAATCGGTTAACGTAAGTTGAAAATACAATAAGAATAGAATAATAATAAATAAGTGTACTTGAATTAAAATGATATAAAAGAATGTAGACTTAATTTCGCCGACGCGTCTCATGTTATTTATTGAAATATTCAAATACTCATCGAGGCTCTGCATTACACTTTTAAGCATCAGCAAAACAAATAAACAAAAATTTAAAAGAAACGAAGATGGATAATAAAAAGTAAATGGAACACATATTTTAACTAAAATTAAACGAGGCTTATGTTTTAAATAGGAACTGTTGACTATCGTTGGATATACTAGCCGAAATGTAATTCAACCAATCAAATATATTATCGGAGTGAACTCAATCCTATGTATGAATAATGTAAACCAATTATGGTACGCCGCATTTTCGCATTGTTTGATTTGTATTGACTTTTTAATTTTTGTATCTCAATTCAAAATAGGTGTTAAATTTTCAGATCATAATTGTTCAACGAACAATAATTTTATCTTTTTAGATTAT